CCAGACTAGGCGAAACCAGTCGGTGCTCGAACACATTTGCCGTAGGCGTAAAACATCTTCAGGCAGGGCATTTCAAGCGGCAATTGCTCCATGTGATAACCAGTTGTAAGCCCGAACCCGAGTAGATCGAGGCTTGTGCAGTTTTGTTGGATGACCACAGAGGGCTGGCAATCTCGCTGAGTGAAAAGAATCAGATCAATCCAAACCAAATTGACGCGTCAAGATGCGACAGGTGAGGATCAAGTCTCCCAGATGCCGTGCATAGTGTGGCGAAAAAACGCCCAACCTAAGCAATTACTCAGGATAGGACATGCATCTTAACCCACACACCGTCATAGTACCGACCCACAGTACCCGCTCCACTGCCAGCATGTCCTAGATTAAATAAGGAGATGCATGTACGCAGTATTACAGGTGAGATCTGATGAAGTCTGAATACAGCACACCAAGCATTTAGTCCGTACAGGTTCCGAGTGATCGGTGAATCATCTACAGTATCCTGAATCCTCCGCAGCTGACTTCTGTCCAGTTTCCACTAGGCTGGAAATTCGATGACAGCGTGATCCCTAAGTCAACCTGCTCGATCACATGCAAAACCACGTTGCCGCCTAAAAGGTTACTAGTAACTGGACCACCAGTCCCTAATCGAAAAGGCAAGCACCAAGAGAGATTTACTGCCAGCTGCCAAAGCCGACCAGTAACAGACCCTGCCAGGTTCACGACGTAGGGCCCGGGAGCCATATGGGTCACTGACCGTATCCCAAAACATAAGGTCGTATGGAAACATGAGAGACGGAACACCTGGTTTCTGCGGTGGGTTGTTTATATATGAGGTGAACAACAATGGACCATAGAAAGACCCCTGCAGTACACCGTTGAGAACAGATTTTCAGAAAGACGGACTCGAACCCACATCCCCTTGTCCTTTAAGAATGTCAATGTCCAACACAGAGCACCCCAGGAGAAGCCATATGATTTCAGTTTAGATGAAGAGTGTGGGACGGTTTCAAATGTCTTGGTAAAGTGAAGGAAAAATAGGTCAACTGCTTCAACTGCTTTACCACGTCAGCACAGCATTCTCAAGTAGACAACAAGTTAGTCAGACAGGAGTAGCCTTCGCGAAAGCCGTGTTGAGATAGGCTCAGCAAGACGAATAACTAATAAAAATAAATAATAACGTGCCAACTGTACGCCGTCACGGCGCTTCGCTGCTACGCGACCACCAACAGTCGCGCGCGGGCGGAGTATACCGCGAGGACGCCGACCCCTACACGAATTCGAACCAGATGCGCAGACCACTCGGCCAACGGCTGACAGCAAGACGAACGTCATCAAGCGGGTTTCAATGAAAACCTCTATGAGTTTCTTCAGTAATTAGACTATAACGCTCGTTAAGCTGACCGGTCTATAGTTTTGAGGTGCTTGTGCCCTTTCTTGAATATAGAGCAGACGATTACCTAATGAAAAGGTATGGAGCAACTGAGAAGTGGCTTCTCGTACAGTAGCGTAATCGGTTCATACATTTTAACTGATTCGTAGAGCAACTTGAGATGGAGAGCATTCAGCCCAGCCGCCGTGGTGGTATTTAGCTGCTGTTCGATTCAGTTCAGTTGTACAACCATTATGCGGGCACCGGAGTACGATGGATCCAGCTGCCAAGACTTACATCATCGGAATAATAATAAATAACAACAGCAAGAAAGTGAGTTCAAGCTCAAATAGAATACAAAGAAAATGAAATCAGGAGAAGAGCGCAAAACTAGCTGGAATAAAAGAGTAACGGCTATATGCAAGAAACCGAGTGCATGAAGGTCAATGACTGCGCGACTGCATTATGTCTGATAGAGTTCTCAACCACTGGTGTGGACTACCACCGGAACCCCGTCCCGGAAGATGATACGAACCGGCCTGACCAATATACTTATGTAATTGTGTATGAATGTAGCTTGTGTCTTTGAATGTGCCGCGGCATTTTTGACTGTTTTTATCCTCAGGAATGTGAGCATAAGCGATTGATGTCTGTGGGTTGGATAGCACTTTCCGGATATCCACGGGCCAGTGACTAGTTTGTGGCGAGTCACATCCGCCACGTCGCAGTGTTGTTAAACAGACATTTGTGGCTTTTTATAGGGAGAACGCTTGCCAGGCGAAAACCCACCACGTCCTGGAACACTGCCGCCGAACTATTTGCTGGAACGGGTTAAACCGAACCACCCAGCTGGCACCACGAGGTGGTTGTTCGGCTAACCAGCCTGTTTAAATGCCGCATAAGCCCGATGAAGATACGGCTAACACGCGAGTCCAACCCGCTATAAAGTTGCTTAACCTTACATTTGACCCGACCCGAACTCTTTTTACCCTATGGGTCATGTAAAGCTCGAGCTTTTATTCCCATTAAATACAATGTTCCAATGCACCACCCAAAGTAACTGCAGGCACAGGCACCTGCCAGTCTTGAAAGAGAGCCTTGCATTTGGATGGCGAAATGTACGTAGCATAATTTGATGCTTCAGTCTCCAAGCGGTTTGGTGCAAGTTAGACGGCGTGTGGATCGTCACCCAGCCATGCGATATCATCTGCATAATGCAAGTCAACAACTCGACTATCTGGAAGGAGCTCAAGGCCAGCGTTCAACAAATTTCCCAGAGCGTTCTTTAGGATATCCTCAGTGGCAAAGTTTAATTGGAACGGAGAGATAGGACATCCTCGTCGAACTCCACTGGAGACCACAAATAAAGACGAAAGCTTGTCATAAGCCCAAACTCTGCCCCACGTCAGACCATTGAGAGCGCGTAGTGTGGAGACGAACTTCTCGGGGGCACCATTCCTCAGTAGGCAGTGCCACAATACTGTCCGATCGACAGAATCGCAGGCTGCACGGCTACCCAAGAACACAACAATCGTTGGCCTCTGATGCACATGATGGATCTCGAGGATCTGGCGAAGTGTGAAGATTTGATTCATGTATTCGCGACCAGGGCGAAACCGAGATTGTTCTCACTGCAACGATTCGCGCGTTAGGGATATCCTGCGAAGTATAATGGGTATCAGCAGCTTGCAAATGACGGGGACTAAGCTTATACCTTTGTAATGGGAGCAGATTGTGCGCAGGCGCTTTTTGAAGAGGGGAACGACTGTCGATTCACCCCAAGAAGATGGAACTTCCTCTTTCGACCGAACTTGCGAGAACAACGGTGTGAATTCTCGAACCAGTGAATCTTCACCGTCTTTAAATAGAGCTGGAGGAAGACCATCATGTGGCGAAGCTCCTGCTCGCTTTCCTGATAAGAGGGAGAATCTATAGGGGTAGACCACTCGGCCGCAGCGCGAGCGCCAGAGGATGGAGCTGGGGGCCAACAAAACTGCGAACCAACATGTTCGGCCCATCGTTCCAACGGTCGTTGAAGATTGGTGATTAAGGTGTCATCTTCTTCGCATCTTGTTTCATTTATACCAGATCGAACACTTTCGGTGACCCGAATGAGATGGAAGTTTTCTGGTGGTGCGATTGGAGGACAGAAGACAGCTATCAGCTCCCCATACCCTAGCTGGATAATTGTCCAGACTCTCTAGGTGAACACTGACGGTCAGGTAAGTTGTGACAGGTCATCTTTTGTTGTAGGATGACGTCAGTACCAGCTGTCATGCTGACCATGTTAAAAATCACTGGTAAATGGTTTGGCGGCACCCAAACAGTGGCGATGACTTCGGATCCTACATTGGTGTTCGCAATGGCCATTTCAGCCACTTTCGAGCTACAAGCACTGACAGTCGTGTAAGTCCGGCTGCTTGTCTAAAGCTCCGTATGGAGGCGTACTTGGTATTTATCTCGTATCGCAGCATTATGGTCCATTATTGTAATGGATTTGTTGTGGACACCGGTATACTTCTGTTGGGGCCAAGATGACCAACAACAATTGTGTGTAAAATGCATCAGAGATAGCATTTTGAGAAATTTCCTTGCGACGACGGTAAAGACTGCTGTTTCTACTTGATTTGTCCGTATTTTTGTTTTTATAAGGTTAATGAGATATGCTTTTTCCACTTCACTGTTTGAAGCTTTAGCTCTCATTACGTTTGGAGGATTCCGAATAAAATGTGTCAGAATCATTTCATGTTGCAAGACGCTCAGCTATCGCCGTGCGCTTCTCATGGAAGCAATCTCGGCATGTTTGTGCATGATGACCTTGGCTGTTCGAGGCAGACCGTAAGAACAGCAAAGAAAGCGAGTCAGCACTTCGGTCTCCTTTATCAAGCGTTCGAAAGTTTGATGCACCCACTGCAAGTGCTTGGCGCGTACGTAGAATACACAGTCTAAACTAGGCAGTCCTGTCAACTGTACCACCTCTGCACAACACAGCGCGATAAAAGTCGAACGATCAACTCTCATAATGTACGGCGGATGCTATCGACGTCTCCGTGGCCATCTCATAACAGTGTATCAGCTCCTATAAAACCCCAACCACACTTGCCACTAACTTTGGAAACTTAGCTAAAGCACATTTCTGAAGTACCATCAGTTCAAACGAGCCACGAGGTACAGCCGACTGGAATGGCAATGAAACTTTTTCTCCCTCGGTGTAACTAACAGACTTTTTACTTCCCTCTGTACAAATGAGTAACACTCATTTTATCACTATTTAAAAGACGACCTGACGACACTGACACATTTACACTAGGTGATCTAAACCGTGACCATCAAATGACGGCACTAATGTAGAACTTTATCAGACCCTTTAAACTCCAGGCAGGAGTACTCACATTTGTACTACTGCAAATCTCTTGGTGAATTCTGCAACATGTGCCTTATTTGATCGACAATATGTTTTCATCCTTTAGTATTCACCCTAACTATCCTACGAGACTTGTCAAGCATTTGCCTTTTTTACTCATTATAAATCATTGCTCAAGATCATTTTAACCATTGCTTTATCGTACCCATCTGCGTTCTCTTGCAAGCTGCCGGTTCAGAGACTCATGTAATCGGTACTTACCTTACAGGGAAACGCTACAATAGCTGATCAATCTGAGGAATGGCCTAAGTTCAGCAACATCCTGTGACTGTGGAGTTTTGCCGCATTGAGTATGCCTTCACGGTATTGCAGCTTGTGACGCTATTAGTCATCTTGCGATGAGTCTGCGCTGTTATTCTGGTCTACTCGGCTCATCGCAGCCTGTTCACCTCCAGCCATGTCTCATGACTTACTCCACCATAGTTCCAAACAGACCATCCTCTGTATATGCACAGTTAACAAGACAACAGAAGATCAAGTTCGATTCTACGCAAACCCGCCTGCTCCCTTATTTCGACAAGCTCTGCGCTGAAATGCGCACATATGAAAGGAGCTTCACATTTCCGTTTGTTTGTGCTCTTCGTCTAATCCGTTCGAGTTCATAGTTTCTTTTCAAGAAGCCTGCCCCGCTCGGAATCTATATACACGGACCAGTGGGTAAGCGTGTAACGTACTTTTCCAATTATCTGCAACACTAGGATGTGGAAAAACAATGCTGATGGACATATTTTACTCCTGTTGCAGCTTCCGTCAAAAGCGACGTATTCATTTTCATTCATTTATGCGGATGGTTCATGAGCGTAAGTTGCTCTTTGAAGTTTTTACCTATACAACCACCATTACAACAGCATTCACATCCAACTTTTTCTCGTTTTTCCAACGTTTTCAGAGCTACATACATTGCGATGCACCGCTTCTCGAAACAGGCCCTTTGATCCTATACCGTCCGTTGCAACTGACATTACTAACGAATTCAAGTTATGGTGTTTCGATGAGTTGCAGGTACAGAATGTTTTCCTAAAAGCAAAGTAATATATGTCGAATGGTCATTGTTGGTCCACGAAGTTTCGTTCTACTGTGCGTGTCCGGTTACATTATTCAAAGTTAAGATCTGCAACCTTAGTTTCACTAGCAACCTGGTTTTTCACTTCATATGCCGTCATCATCGTTAGCGTCACAACAGCAATAGCAGCAGTATCGGAGTAAACGGCCAAACCATGATATTTAATCTACTCTTTCTCTAGGCTGTTAGTCAAACGCAGAAATCCATTCGCTCAGAACCAGCCATGTTAATAGTACTATGGTTGGCGGCATCCGGTTTCGGATTTGCCTGTCACTATGGCCAGCCACAGGACGCCTGCACGTACAAAAGGACCATGGGTGAATTGCGATGCACCACCCACAGCACCATTCACACCCCCCATATCCAGTGTAAACCCGAAGGAATAAGACATGGAGGCATGTGGATGGGAGCCACGTTTCATCAATGGAGCCTTCCCACACCCCCTTTACAGGCAAACACAAGCACGCTGTATTTAGGAATCAAGCGCACACCAGGCGGTGGCTGGACCTTAGTCCTCTCCACACTGAGTGCATGGAACCACTCTTTGACCTAACACGACCACAAGGACCGTGCACCCCGTCCCCTCCAGCAACGACCATCTGTCTCCTGGAACCAGTATGGACGAAGTAGTGGGTAATAGACAGGTAGGCACCTTGTCAACATGCACATCAAGCGCAGCCACACCGGGAATATCAAGCGACAGCCAATCACTTAAGAGAAAGATATCAAATAAAATAAATCGAGTAATGCATAAGGAAACGGTGACATAAACCTTAAGTTAATGAGCATATGAAATAAGTTGTTTACAAAAGAATCCGAGATAAGTTCACGAGGTCAAAAAGTATATTTTACGGAAATGCAACAAACACGAAAATGTTATCGAAATTAACTACAATTGGCTTAAGCGAGGTGTGCAAGTTAATGGAATAGAGTACAGGTAGACATTTATATGAGAAAGAAAAGCATTTAGGCAACATTGAAAACCCACTACCTGAAATACATAGACACAGCATGCAAACACGTGGTTAGTAAATCGAATGCAGCGTGCGTACAAACGCTGCGTCGGTTCTGCAGGACCCATCGTAGCTTTGGTAGTGGTCCCGAGTGGCCTCGCTCATGGCTCACTAGGCCTGCCTGACTCAAGCACTCGCGACCGCATGTGCTACAGCACCATGCGCTCGATGTCGATGGAGTACAACCCATCGGTGCTTGCCGCTTCCGCACTTTCCGCTTCTTCTCTGCATGTATGAGGGCTTTCTCCAGCACTTCAGCAACTGCCTTCGTGATTAGATCGCGCCATGCACGCCGATCAACCGCTTTCGATTCCCATGACCTGCAATCAAGATTAGAACGTAATAGGCTCACTTTGATCATGTCTTGGCAACGTAACTTTGGTTTCCCCACATGCCGCTTCCCATTATTCAGCTGACCATATAAGAGTTGTTTCGATATCCGCGTCGAACCCATACGGCTCATATGACCGAGCCACCTCAGGTGTCTCAACAAAAGTATACAGTCCACTGCATACATTCCACTTTGTCGCAGCACTTCCGTGTCAGCAGCTCTGTCGCCCCAACCGATGCGCAAAATCCGTCGCAAACACTGCTGATGGAACCGCTCGAGATATCGCACATCCCGCCGGTACATCGTCCACGTTTCACTGCTGTATAGAAGAACGGACAGCACCATGGATTTATACACCATCAGCTTCGTGCCAACGGTAAGCTGATGGTTGTTCCACACACAGTACTCAAGCTTCCCGAATGCCGTCGCTGTCTTCGACACGCAGATACGCAGCTCACTGTGTATCTGCTGATCAGTCGACATCACACTCCCAAGGTAGCAGAAGCGGGAGGTGGTTTCCAATACTTCAGCACCAATGCTGATTCGCGGCAATATTGAAGATTGCACCTCCGCTGAAGGCTGGAAGAGACAGACAGTTTTGCTTATGTTGATGATGAGCCCGAATTTGACCGCTGTCGAAGCCAGAGCACTAGTCATGTGCTGCAACTCATCCGCACTGTGTGCAAACAACGCACAATCGTCAGCAAACAGCAACATACGACTAGTTGTCTCACAGACTAGGGTTCTCGCACCGAAACGACGGATGTTTAGCAACCCACCATCAATACGGTGTTCCACACGAACACCGTAAGCACAGGCGTCATCAAAAGCACAAGACATCATTGCACGAAGATAAATATTAAACAGGGCAAGAGCTATGACACAGCCTCGCTTCACATCAGATAACTGCAAAGTCATCCGACGTCTCGCCACTCACCTGTACCCTCGCCCGCATGCCACTGTGCAGACGCCCAATTAAACTTACAAACTTACGCGGGCAACTAAAGTTACCCAACACCAGCCACAATGCCTCGCGGTTCACCGTATCAAATGCCTTGGTGAAATCAACAAAAAGCGTGTACAATGGCTGGTGTCGTTCTCTGCACTTCTCCTGCAACTGACGAGCCGCAAATACCATATGCTTATCATGCGGACGATATACTCTTGCTTTTGGATGATGTTGGGGCGGCCCAATCATCCCCGAATCGCCTCACCAGAGTGGTCCTGTTATTTGCTATGCGCTTCGCAGCTTCAAAGTACAGTGTTGCTATAGAAACACCAGTCACATGATGACCCCCTTGACCCTGGTTAGCGAGGAACTCGAGGTAACTGATCAATTCACTTACCTTGGCAGCTACGATGGATGCATGGCTACTGAAGTTGGTTCACTTATTCTAAAACCCAGAACTGCTTTCTTGAATCTGCGATATTATTGGCAACAGAAAGGAGTTCCCTTCTGTCTGAATTGTAGTGTGTACTAGGCCACTGAGAGCCGTACTGGTCTGTGGAAGTGAAACTTGCCTCCTTAGCTCTGAGCATCTGAGGCACCTTCAAGTCTGATCATCGCTATCCGTAGAGCAGTGCGGGTGTCAAGTGGCTCCAGTATGTCCGAATCGATGGTGTGCGTAAGCGGGCATTAAGCTTCGAAATCTTTACTAGTTCCTTAGAACAGCTGATAGCACTAAATAAGTTGCGTTGGCTTGTGCACACATTGCATATCGCTGGTTACTGCTTACCGAGGAGGGCCTTGTTCTGTCTGCTAGATGTAGGGTGGCGCAAGGCTCGAGGTGGACAAAAGTTGATTTGGCATCGGGAAATGAAGTCACGGATGACCAAACTCGGTGCTGTTGGTCCGTCTTGCCTTGAAGGCTGGAGTCCACTTGACTCGCCTTGTGCTTGGGTCGAGACCTAACAAGATATGGCTCGCAGTCGGCACCAGTGGCGCGCCTGCCGCCGTCTCCTAGTCGGACTGCCTGTTTAACGTGTGTTTGGTGCTCATTTATCTGCGGGGTGATGGTTATGACTCTGGGCAGTGAAAGCCGGAAGGAAGCTGTCTCGCCGATGTCGCCTTATCTTTGCACAATAGCCAGCTGTTTGTGATGGCATATTTAAAGTTGAATTTGGGGAACCCACTGTGTGGTTCGGTTGTGACACGTAACCTTTATTGAAATCAGTGATGGGAGGAGCAACACCGAAGCATTTTCATTCCGTGATGGCATATTGTTGACAAGGTGTAGGCGCTTTGACCCTGAATGTTTACTTTGAGTAATAAGGTTTTACTGTAGGTCCTTATGGTCTCTTATGGTTCATCGTTCCGCAGGTCGTTTTGGTTGCATGGCAATGAAGCATCTGTTCAAGTGGCTGATGTACTACTGTTGCTTATGTTTGTGAGTATTTTTTTATTGCGGTCAACTCCATTTTTGCACTCACAAGTTTGACAACACGCACACCGTTCGAGGTTCTTCAGCTGACATCGTTTTTAGTTGCTTTGTGGTAGATTAACGCCCTTTTATCTTACCTCATAGCTCGATCGATGATTTACTTTCTTTTTGCCTTTTTGTAGATTGTTTGAGGATCTTAGTGTGCACAGGGAACTTTGGTGTGTTTCCATTTGATGCGTAGTTTGATAACTCTGTACTATCCACTGAACTTGTGCTTTGAAATCTAGGCAATATTCTACTCCGTATACATTATTTTGGCTAAACAAGACTGACTAGTTGTGATGCCAATTTGATATTTTATTTGGATCACTTTCCGAAATCTTGAACCGTGAGTATTTGGGTTGAAGATACTCAAAGTACGAGAATAGGCCCAACCGCTCTACTGTCCATGAGTATTAGGTTTTAACTTGCAATACTCGTAGTCTGTGTTCAACGCCATTTAGGATACATGACCGGGTGACGCCACCAAACTTGGTGCTTTATTTGCCTTATACTTCTCACAAACCTTGCGTGCGTTCAAAATGTTCTGATAGTGTATCCTAGGTGTTTCACTGTAACTGTGTATTCACTGTAACACGACCACTAATACTTAAAATCGTGCACTACTGCACAGTATACTCGTGTGTAAGGTCTTACTCTCTCGTTAATTTCACTGTAATTAGTACTTCTAATGGGCACATAACGAGCATCCTGACAGAATTAACGGGTTTCTTTATAAGATGCTAAAAGCTAATTGGGCTAAGCGTGATCTACATGCTTCCGTAATATGTCAACTTCCCGATTCCGTTGGATGTGACTCAAGTAAGCAACCTTGTGGTACTGGAGTAATAGCCGAAATCAGAATCGGCTTTGTTCGGGCTGGTCGGAATTGAAATAGCCTCGGCTCGGATCCAGAGCTAGCGTCAACACGAAATTAATAACGCACCTTGAGCGCACGTGGAAATCATATTAACCAGATCGAAATCGCTCTATATCGGTACAGCAAATAATACAATACAACAACAATCACCATAAACCGTCTATCTGTTTCTGCTCCATTATATCCCCACTGACTTCACCACGGCTGTCTGAACAGCCAGCATCTTTGACCGCTGATGACCGTCCTCCAACATGTGGCCTAAAACCCTACTAGAAGGTTGGCATCGTCATAGCTC